CTGGGGTTGATTTTAGTCCAGTCATCCCAATGATACCACGTCCAGTCTGTGACACTAGTTGTAATGCTCCGCCTACCGGCTTTGTGACCACACCCAAAATCCCTTTTCCGACTCCAGTGACAATACTCCTAGTATATCCACCAGTGGCTAGAGTTTCCTCTTGTCCTTGTCTCTCTATGATACTTTGTAATGGCTGCTCTACTAGTCCGGCCACTGCACTCATTACGCTCATACCAAAACTAGACACGCCCACCATAAGCCCCGCCCCAAGATTCTCCAGTGACCTTTGACCTCTCCGGCGTAAGTCCTCCTGGTATGAGACATGGTCTTCATCTAGGGAAAGTCGCTCGACATTCAAAGCCATCCCTGAGGCAAAATTAGTGACTGAGCGGAGGGCTCCGCCCAGAAATCCAGTCAACAAAGATCGAGTGCCCTGACCTAGCCCGAGAATAAAGAACCCTGGGCCTCTCGTGAGACCTTGATAAGGAAGAGATAGGAAGTCCCTTAGGCCAGACTGTAGTGTATTGATCAGAGTACCAGGACTGCCTATGATATCCAGTGATCCTAATATCCAGTCCAATTGTGAGAGGAGGGAGAGGGAGTAATGCGAAGCCAGGCTCTGAGCCAGCTCACTCCAGTTGAAGTAGAGGTGTCTGTGAGAGAGAGGAGAAAGGAGGACCCTACTCTCATCCACGCTGAGCGATAGACCACGCGTGAAACAAAGACTCAAGTAAATGAGGACTCCATCAATATGTAGGTGATTGATAGCAAGAGGATACCTGTCTCTGTTGGCCTCTTCAAGAATGTAACCTGGAACTAAAATAGTAAACAAAAAATGTGTGGCATTCTGTAATAAGATACATATAAGTACAAGTGGGGGCAGACTGAAATAATAGAGTAATATAAGGAATATAAGGTGTGCCCACTTTATATGCATTTAGTGAGGAGTTGATTAATTATTATCAATCAACTCGTCGGCAAATGCATATAAAGGGGCACACCTTGTATCCCTTATATAATTACAGAAATTAGTAAAACAAATTAATACAAATTAAATTACAACATCCAGCATTATGCAATATAGCCAGAAAAACTAGCAGGAATTACAAGTACAAAAACACCACTAATCATATGCTCAATTGCAAAAAAATTCAAAATATAACTCCCACCTGGTATAATCTATAATAATTCAATCCTTACCTTTACATTCATTAACATCATGTACTGGCAAGGGAGGAGTATCTGAAATGGGTAAAGGTGAGTAGCTATAAGCTAACGTTATCTTCTTTAGCGAGCGAACAAAGCTATCGTCAAACTGAAGGGTGAGAGGCTGAAGGGAGAGAGAAGTTTCAGTTATAAAAGTCCCACCAACATTATCGGAAAACTTGGTCCAGTTGACAGAGAACGAGAGGAAAGGAGGTAGTTCCCTCTCTACTATCGAAAGAGGAGGAACGTGATCGTGTCTGGGTATAGCAAGAACAGGAAATATGACGGACTCATTTGTAGAGGAGTGATGATCAATTTGTATTGAGTTTATACTTGAGGAACACTGATACTGGCTCCCATGTGACATTGATAACTTACTGCTCCAGTTATCAAAAACACATGTAAATATCGGCCTGATCTTGAGAGTGTCTCCCACATCAATGGAGAGGGTGAGTTGCTCGAGGAAGCACTCTAAGTCCAGTAGATGGAGTGCCTCTTTTAATATTAAGCATTGAGATGAAGTCTCTATTGGTACTGGTAACATCCCCCCATCACCAGGCAACAGAGAGATATACAGCGTCCCATATTGATATGAGGTAGAGAAGACAAGTTTGGTGTCTGAGAGCTTAAGATATTTCTCTGTGTCATAGTGAAGTGGTATTGGATCAGTCCATTGAATAGGGTCACTAGCATTAGGACTAGTACACTTTGTTAGTGAGCCTATTTGAATGTGAATATCAGACAGAGTCTTAAATACAACATTCTCATCATCACCATTACTCTCATTATCATCATCATTATGTATATTCCTTGTAGTAGGGTATAATTTAGCAAGAGATGGAGGCTCAAAATAACTTTCATGACCAGAGGGCAGGGTCTGAGGATGAGAGTGAATCCCTATAGAGCCAGACTCCATTATTTGAAGCGTCAATCTTGTATGGTTAGCACATATGAGGCGTGGTCTTGGATCATGAGAAATAACGACATAATACTGACCACACCCATCACTGTGGGTCGTCAATAAGCAGGGGGAGGAGCCTGAGGGTGTCGGAAGTGAAAACGAGCGACGGACAAAATTGAGAGACAACGGGATAGACCAGTGTGAGAGTTGCTCAGTATTTGCAGTTACATATACAACAAAGGTAAGCTGTAGTTTAGCATCAGCTCTTACACCAGACCACCAGCTAAGCAATGAATGAGATTGGCCACTATGAATGGATACCTCTTCCCTCCTCCTATCTCTCATCATGGGAGCAATATTGTTAGCCTCGAGAGATGAACATACCGAGAGACAGTGCCCAGTTTGGTTGAATAGTGTAAAGATTGGCTTCAGGGCTATAATTAGCGTATTATTATGTACCACGAATGAAACAAGTATTTTATAAACCAACTACAGGAAGAGAGTAAAGAGTATGAGTACAGTAATGTTAATTGCATGCACATTACCTCTTGTTTAGGATCAGAGCCGGCTAATGTTAGCTGTTTAGTCTTAGGAGGTTGACCAGGACTGATCTGATAGTCCTTGAAAGACAGTTCTGCAGTAAACAATTCGTCACATTCATCTCCATCAACTACCAATGTTAAGTCCTTTCAGAGAGAGAGAGAGAAAGGAAAGAATATTAAACTCAGTAATAAGTACTTCAATATTTCACTCACTTCATCGATGGATAGTGGATACAGTTCATTACAAGAAAGACTCATAAAGAGTCCATCATTTCTCTTTCTTTTAATCGGACATGATGTCTCGTTGATTATCACAACCTGTGGCATAATCTCAATCCTTATCGTCCCTTCCTTCCTCCTGCTTGTAAACATGTACCCTTTCATTACTCCTTTATTAGTTGGAATTGATACAATGCAAGGGGGCTCCTCTAATCTACAACAAATAATTACTACTAAATTATACCAATTATACTACTCCTACAAGCTCACTCGTGTCCCTCACATCCCCCTCTCTCTTTTCTTCTCTCCCACTCTCAATATTTCATACAACATAGACTCACTTCTTTCTATCATCAGTGCATGTGCATTCCTTGTAGAGTCCCAGACCCATACACTCATTCTCAAACTCTGGTAACTCATTCCTGAGACTAGTTGATAACTTAATGAGGGAGCTAGAGAAACTGCCCTCTGCTGGGTCCAAACTTTTAAAATGCATAAAGTACCATCTCCCAGCTTTCATAGTTGAGTCTAATGATGTAACAGAGCCTCCACCAGGTACTGTTGTAATTGTACCACCACCTTCTCCCCCTCCCTCTTCATTGGATGATAAAAGTTGAAGTTTAAATGGGAAGTGATTACATATCTCAAAAAGTGGTGCCAATGTCACCTGATAAAGATTGATACAAATGTACACTATTATAATGAGCTGGTACCTCTAATGCAGGACTGTCAGCCACTGATTTAATGCTTGACCAAAAACTATAAGACTCTTCATTCTCTTCTCCTACCTAATAAAAGAGACTACGCTTTAAGTACTGTTTGGTCGCTCTATACTTTGATGAAACTGAGATCAGAATCAAGTGATATCTTAAATAAAGGACCACGAGATTGATCAGTCTCCTTAAACTGGAACGACAAGCCAGACTGACGAGTATCGTACCACACAACTCCTTCTAGTCTAGACTGTGAGCCGATCTCTATAAACTTGCTCTGATGTAGAGAGTCCAAGGCAGTATTGTAGAGTAAAAGAACCGGTTCTTGAATCCTAGATGAAATAGTCAACTCTCCACTGATAGTTACCTGAAGTGTAATTAAAGGAGAAAAGCATAAAGGAAGAAGATAAAGGTATGTTCAAATGAATACTACTCAAGACTTGTGAGTATATTACTGACCAGTTTCTGTATTGATCCATTGCATGTGACTTGTACAAGAAGACAAAGTCCATCGTCCATTACAAGCTACAATACATGTACATATACACACACTCTAATGGACATACTAACTTGATGCATTCCTATAGCATCAATAGTGAACCCACTACTCCATCTAACATCACTACCATAGGATATGTGAAGTTTCTAGAGTAAAGCATGTACACTACTATTACTATTAATAACGGCATGTTATATACTTTTTCATTATTGAATGACCTCCAGTTGTAGCTACAGTTAGAATTAGGAGGTAACGAGACCCTTTCAACAGTGCCCATCTAAAAATAACAAATTTATAGTAAAATGAAATTTGATGCCGCCACATACTCCTCATCTAATTACATGTATAATACAAAGACCCAATGAATAAACTGCCCATTCAGTATGCATATGTGTGGGAGTGAATACTGACTGTATGAAACCCATATATGCTTGTACCAGTCACCGACATAAGAAAATTGGTCACGCACAGACATACTTTAACCTTAAGATCATAAAAATATATTTATACTGAAAGCTATTGAGCAATACTGACATGCTAAAGTCACGCACATACACACACATAATAATAATAATAATAATAATAATAATAATAATAATAATAATAATAATAATAATAATAATAATAATAAATAACAGTACAAATGCAGAGCATGTGACAGAAATATAATAATAATACTAACGTCAAAGTGTAAGGCATAACTTAAGAGTGTAATCAAAGGAGGATATGTGAACAGGTAGTGCAATGCAAGCTGTAGCAAGTGATGCTATTATCAATACATTACATACTAATATTGATGCTAAGCAGTGACAAGATTATACATGTACATAATCAGTGCTGGAATGATTCAGCACATGATCAGGATGTGGAGTGACAGCTTCACAGATGCATGAAGCAGTTCTATCATGCACGCATACATGTATCTAATCATGAACATATACACAATTAAACCTATTAGTATTGCACAGCCATGCAATCACAAACAACAAGTTCAATTTAATTATGAAAGCGTCGCCTGTGAGGGAGGTAAGGCAATTACCAACAGACTAAAACATTAAATAGTTTCACGGATACATCATCAATTTAAATACCAGTAGCAGATAATATATGTGACAATACTGCTACTACAGTTAGGATATAATGGTAATAGTCTAATTATAAAGTGAACATGTAAAGTTTCCTCAATACATACAATAAATTATTAGCTCTGAGCCAAGAAGTCACTGCCCGTATCCAACACATCTGTCTATTTATTTTGAGTGCACATTTGCACATTAGGCACTATATAATTGAGAATTAGTGGGAGTGAAGGACCCAGTCCATGCGTATGCAGCTAATATGGCATTAGGCCACATTATAATTACAGCCTTACAATACATGCATGAACTCCAATTAGGAATCAATTATGGACATGCACAGAGAGTATTAGCAACTAACCTGACCAATGATAAGGTCAATTAGAGACTTGTTATGTATGATGTAAGGTCCAAGTGGTTGTTTATCATTCCTTCCTTCAATAGAATCTCTCCCCATGGCATAATGGGATTGCTCCAATAGTAAGGTATTGGTTGTCATGTTAAGAGTGTATAGGAGAGAAGGGCTCACTCTTATGACTGTAGGACCTGGGACCATTATGGATACCTTGCTCTCTTTTAAACGGTCAAACTAAACGCAACGATACGAAGCAATGAGTGCTGGTTTTTTCGTGGCGCGGCTAACCTGCTTGAGTGGCTTAGTGATTGAGTTTATAGTCAAGTCTGTGGGGAAGAGGGCATCTCTCCAGAGAAGGTCTCTAATATCAGTGTATCTCAGTGACACTAGCCCCGATAACTGCATACATAATAAGAAAATACATTATCAAATATATAATCCTTGTTTCTAAGACTGTGTGAACACATTGCATTGAGAATGCATTACTCATCAATAGTCAAATTATCATTCAAAATAAACACTAGAAGAGGCTACACGCAAACATGTTATGCAAGGCAAACCGGCTCTCATTCCAACTGTGTCTTGTTGTTCATTCCGGTTGTGTCTGGTTTTTTAAAAAGTTATTGAATTTTGATTGAATAAACTGTCATATTAAAAACTATCTACTCATCATTATGACCATTACATACCATTACACTAGCATAAGTACACACAGAGAATGTAAACCAATTATCATGCATACAGTACACACGTACATACCAAAAATAAAATATACATGTACATGTATTTTCATTAATAATACCTTGACATGCATCTGACGTATGTTTTCAATTAATGTTGCCCCGATTGTCAGATCTTTACACTTAAATTGGAAAAGATCCAAAGGGAAATCGTCAACATTGGAGGAAAGGGAATGTCTTGTATTTCGTATGTCTAAAAAAATCATAAGAGAAATTCACATTACATCAACAATCCTGTCTCATCATATTCCATGTCATATGTTGAGAGACAAAAATGTGTCCAAAGGGGAGACTTTTTGGATGAGCAGTCATCAGGTGTGCTGCTAATTGAACTATTATACTGAATATTCTCATGGGGAAAATTCTGTCTAGCATCATTCATGGGCCATTAGATGCAGGCTTAATGCTAACTGGATTAAATATTTAATACAAGACTAGCCTAGCCGTCCCCCATTCATTTTCCTAAGCGTGTCTTGTTTTTGCTTGACTAATTATACATTTAAAAGCATAGGCAGACATTACTAATAGATTCACAGACAAAATACCCACAGGCACTAGAAAAGGGAAAGAGACAGGGAGGCTTGCACACGTACACACACACGTACATACTTCAATAAAAAAATTATAATTTAAGGAATTGTGTGACTGAATGACTAACTGACCGGTTAATGGCTCACGTCTTAGTGTAGATTCGAGTGATTTGATGCGAGCAGTAATTGACAGAGGGACATAAACACTGTCCCTTGTTCTAATTATAGAATCAACAGTTGTACAGCCGGCAAGGACCAGAGGCGATAGGACAGCTGTCACTCCTCCAGTCTGGGGGTCAGTGAGTGGTAACTCAAGTCTAAAAAAGGCAAAACAAGTAAACAGACAAGAGTAAATAAAACAAGTGTGCATATGTTGTTATTGAGTGCTGTAAAATGATACACTACAGAATAAGTGTAGGGAGTCTGACATATATGTACATATGCACCATACACAATCATACAATCCAGGAGACACTCACTGTATAAGGTTTAAGAATGAAGTAACGTTACATAATATGGAGTGCACAAATATTTGTGTAATGCCCCGATAGCACAAGGGAAACATTCTGATGGATACTAGCTCAACAAACATGGTCAGTTGCATCATACTATTGTGTGAGTATTTCAAAAAGTACAATCACTTCAATGACAAAATCCAGTCACAACATAAAACATGAGAGTAGCTTATATTACCATGACGCATAAAGGTAATGCCCCAGCTACGGTAAACAATAAGTATCATAATACTACGGCTTAATTGCTTTCAGTGACAATATGAGCCAGATATGGAGCAGAATGAAAGAGTCACGATCTACACTATACCACCTGCACACAAAAGAAGAATAGCTCAAAAATGTTTGTACTAGAACTAGCACAAGCTTTGATGAATGAGAATAAGGATATAAGGGGAAGATTGAAGTGAAAGCTATTGTTGTCCTTACCATTCATGCATACATTACAATTCCTAAGAGTCGAGTGTATGATGAGTAACAGACTGGGTATGTCATACTAGTAATGAACTGAATGCTGTGGTGACTGGGTATGTGTCTGTGCATGTATTACGCATACTTTTCCTAATAAACTTAATAGCCTTTAGTAATGTAAGCTTAATTCTAAGGATTTCATAACCTCACACACACAAATCAAACATGCCCGGAAGGAATAACAAACAAAATAACAGAAATACAGAGCAGCTCGTAAACAAATGCAATTAATAATACACTATACATACAATGTAATAACGGCTATATTATTGCTCTATATAGTTCTACACACCTCTTGGCAGATGTGTCTCCAACTGCAGACTCTGCACATAGCCAGACAAATATTTACAAGTGTAACAAATTATTGACCCAAACAAGGCCCGTCGGCAGATGAAATATACATACACCTACTCTCGTAGAAACTAGCGATTCGTAATTGGAGCAAATTAAGAGCGAGTGGTATGAGCCATCCATCCCAAACAAGAATTTAATAATAATAATTATGAGCGATGTGTAGTTGCAGGTGGTTGGTAATAAAAATTGGATGAAATCATTCGTCAAGTGTATAATCATAGAACAAATTAATGTATGCATGCATAAGCAATGTATAACAATAGATTTAGCTATTTGATGCATAAAGTAGTCATAATGATAAAAGCAATCGAAATAATCCCACTTTTAATATTTCTTGACATCTACACTGTACATAATCAACAACTGGAGCTTTCTACATAGCATAAGCGCATCAATATGTCAATCATAAAAATGGGGGCAATTTTGAAGCCAATTTCTGGCAAATTCACCCCGTACCTGTGAATATTATTATCACCATCAGTCCATTCGATGGCAGGGAGTGCCAGTCTCCACTTGTTGGAGCTCTCCATTACTTTGTATGATAATAGTAGGCGAGCAGAAGACACTTCAGATAGGTGAAGCGTATCAAGATAGACCCAGTCATTAGTAACGAGACTGTAATATGAGAGTTCACAGACAACCTAATGGTAGAACACAACGATCCGTTTAATTTGAATAATTAGTGGCTTGTTTTAATTAAATTGATGACTAAGGATACTATAACGACTTAAGTGCATTATATTACAAAGCCAATAATCATAATATTTAATTGTGGCAGACACAAAAGTATATTTACTCAAATCCATAAAAATTTTATTGCCAGACCACCATAATTGCATTATTGGCATTAGAGCTAATGACCGATTGCCACAAAATCTAATTGTGGGACTCCAATAATAATCACAATTATATGTAATTATAAAAGAGGAAAGGGGAGAAGAGAAAAGGAGATTGAAGGGAGCAACAATAAATGAGCAAAGTCACTCAGTGCAGCAGCTTGCCTTCCTAACTGAGATAAATATACATGTACATGTACATGCACATGTATAACTATAGCTGCACACTACAACTTCATCCGAAACAAATAGGATCGTCTTTATTATTTTTTCTGATACATTTATATGCTGTTATGTTGCGTAGAAAGGTTTGGTTGATTCCAATCAAAATTAAGAATTAAGTTACTCAAAAATTTAACACCCTGTACTATAGTACAGGGTCATTGGCCAAATTTCACCAAAAATGACTAGGAGAGAATTCTCCATTTTTATAATTTTTTTCTAATACATAAACATGTTCTTATGTTGTGTAGAAAGTTTAAACTAATTCCAATCACAATTAGATTTTTTACAAATTTTTAAAGTTGCTCCAAAATCAGGTCAAAATCCCTGTACTATAGTACAGTGTCTTTGGCCAAATTTCACCAAAAATGAAAAGGAGTGAATTCTCCATTTTTATAATTTTTCCTGATACATATACATGTACTTATGTTGCATAGAAAGTTTGAGCTAATTCCGATCACATTTAGACTTTTTATGAATTTTTTAAGTTGCTCCAAAATCAGGTCAAAATCCCTGTACTACAGTACAGGGTTTTTTGCCAAATTTCACAAAAAATGGCTAGGAGAGAATTCTCTATTTTAAATTTTTTTCTGATACATACACTAATTTTAAGGTTATGTAGCAAGTTTGAGCTGATTACAATAAAAATTAGAATTTTTATAAATTTTTAAAGCTTGACCAAAAGTATATAATGTTTTACACTAAACAGAGAGCGAGCAGTATGACAATAACTAATCTCCTACTGTACATGTTCATGTAGAGTGATGTGACATACCTTAATATCAAGAGGCCAGTCTTCCTCTCCCATCACAGTAAGCGGTACTGGAAGTATACTGATGCTACACAGTCTTCTTGATTCCTTATAGGACCACGTCATTGAAGGAGGGGCATCAGTCTCACCTTCATAAAACCTCACCTCACCAGGTGCTGGTAGTATCAAAACTAAAGATTACAAAACACATAACTGACAAGAGAAAAAGCATTTTTCTATAAATTAATTTTATTTCATAATAAATTTGTAATTTGTAATTTTCATTGTGCTACTATTAAAAATCACTAGTACATAATTAACTACAATGTCATTATCATAATACAAAATTTGCTCTCACTATGAGTGGGATCAGTGATCAGGATTAAGTCTGATCCTGATCTCAAATCATCGTGAGATCTTATCTCATCTCTAAGACAAGAATCATCGTTTTCAGTCATGCTATTTTCATCTCTCTCTTTACTGAGTTCAACGAACTACAAGAGGAAACAGGAGAGTAAGATGAGAAGATATCAAGTACCAGAAACACCTGCTGGGGCATAATAAAACAAATATTTACCTTATTACTCTCATCCTTCCGGTGTAGCAGGGGCTGTTCCCCAAATATCATATTATAGTCCTCCATTAGTTTATTAGCTGAGAGTACATGAGCCATACAAAGGATGAACTGTACCCGATCACTTACTAGTGAGGTTTCTAATCTACCACTAGAGGCAAAGGAGAGAAAACATTTTAAAAGAGAGACAAGATTAAATACATGTTCACGCAATGTATTATTGTGCATGTAAAGGATTACCGTATAGCGGGAAATTTTGGAGGGGATTAAATTTGGCAAATTCGGCATTATGATAGCCATTCACCAAAATAAAAATCCACCATTTTGAGCCATTATACACATGCTCAATGGTACGTGGCCACAAATTTGCAAATCACCAAAATTTAGCGATTCGCCAAGTTTTAGTCCCTCCAAAATTTCCCACTATACAGTGTGTTGCAGCTTCCCACCTGTCATATACGGACAAAGGTATCCAGTAGGTAATGAGAGAAGTCAGTATACAGTAAGGAATGATGACAGATTTGTGTCCATTGATGAACACAAATAATTCAATCCCCTCTAACGAGATCTGGGCCTGAATGATGTCAATATTATGATACCCCACATCAAAAGGAGCCTGCTGAGAGCTACTCTCAATAGTTTTATTAGGAGGCACTGCAATGCTCAAACTATCCCAGACCAGCACAAAATCGTTATTATTAGAATCCTTAGCAAAATCACCAGAACCCTTGGGATCATCCCCAGAACCTTCAACAGTACCAGACCCCCTACTAGTAAAAGACCCAGTGCCTCCAATGATGATAATAACTTGCTTAGTGACAAATGAGAGTGAAACAGATTTCAATTCAAGACTGCTTCTTTCAGGCTCTACTCTTTTAGTGTCAGACATTACTGCTTCTCCTCTCTTAGGCTTTATTTGACTAGTGAAATTGTTGATAGTTTGAATGAAGTTCAGTATCAATAGAATGAGAGGAGGAGTAACAGTGACTCTTAATGAGCGTGAGATTATGCAGGACAGGATAATCCCTAATAATAATAATAATAATAATAATAATAATAATAATAATAATAATAATAATAATAACAACAACAATAATAATAATAATAAAAAGAGCTTTCAGTTACCTTTATCTATTTGTTTATTAATTTTAACCTGCAATAGTCCACTCCTCAATCCATTCTCGTCATTCATTGATCCTTCACACGTCTCTATCACCTGACACGCCTCTTTATCGCTGCCATGGTAACTGGCAAGTACATTGAATACGGAGAGGTCAATGCTGAGGGATCCTTCAACAGACTGCACCATTAGTGTGGGGTTGAAAATGAGGAGAGAGAGCTCCACTTCTTTAAACTCTTTCCTAATCTCCTGTTTCAAAGAAAACAATTTGAGACTAAGGGCCTTCCCAGTAACTAATATTTGATACTGAGAACAGGTTTCTTTTTCTTGTTTGACTGGCTCCGCTGCCGGCTGAGCATGTTTATTAAACCTGTTTTGGATCAAACATGTTATCCCATTGCAAACATCAAGCAAGCAGTCAACCTAAATAGAAATAAAAATTACTACATAAGTAAACAATGATGCAAGTATTTCCGATAATTTATTATAGTGTACATACATGTGTACATACATGCATGTATATTAATTAATAGCTTTACCTGATCTTTTCCACAAAACAAGAACACTTTACTGTCAAAATGTAGCTCCAACAAGTGCCCGGTAGCAACAACAGACTACATGTGAGTGTAATGATAGAAGTGACACAAACATTGGTGAGATAAATCTTACTTTATCGTCAGTTAGAAACTGTCCTTTACTGTGATGCCTCAAAGATGGCGAATAGAGTATTCTGATATCTGATGCATAAGACAGCGAACAACTTTCAAGCCTGTATAAAGAAGGAGCAATTTAATTGTTGCATGACAAAAAATTAAATAAAAAGAAAATTGTTTTTTTATAATATGAGGAATACCTACTACGTGTACATAAGAAACTTAACACTCAAGTACATATACTGTACATAGCTAGATACTTAATTAATACTCAGACAGTCTGGTTTGTAACACAATAAGGAAATAATACAATTAAAAGCCAATGCAACCTTCTTGCATCATTGAACAAAATAAAATTATTAATAATAAATCAATAATAATAATAATAATTTTTCTCTTTCTCTATATGTAATAATCTAACCTATTCTAATATTACATTCGTTGTGTCTGTTTTTGAGATACAATAATAATAATAATAATGATAATAATAATAATAATAATAATATAATAATAATATTAATAATAATAATATTAATAATAAAATATCCTTTATCATTACTTTACACTATCATGTTCTCGTCTGATTCCAATGAGTTGAGCAGAATAGACCATCAACTGGTAACCAGGTAATGGAGGACACCTCTTCTCATGAACAGCAATCTCGAGTCTCCTCATAGCAGAATGACTAACAATCAATCTTGAGACAGGGAAGTCAAGATTAGAGGAGACACACAATCCCTCACTAGCTAGCACCAGGAGAGACCTACTGGTTGATTCTGACTGAGTGAATATATTGAAATTATTGAATTTCACATCAAGCGAGGGCCATTGATTATCAAGACTGGTGCCCTGCTTGTGAGCTGTGATTGGCAATCTAGAACTGGTTTCTACCTTTTCCTTAGTCCCCTATAATTAAGAGCAAAATTAAAAATACATAATACTGAGATTGTCCTTAAACTTGCACGATAGACAAGAGAAATATGCTAAGTACATAATATACTTAACTCTGACCCAAAAAGGAATGGCACATTTTGGTTTGTCTATTATGTACATTAATGTATCACCTGTGGCTTACATGAATATTATCATTCAGTTCTTCCAAAATATCCAAAATGGCTCCTGCCAGTGGAAGCCAGAGGACTCCCTCAAACATTTGAACATGTAGTTTGACTTTAGTTGGAAAAGAAGAAGACTCATATTTATGAGGAGAAATGATCTCAAGGAGAAGAAAAGAAGGAAGAGTTGCAGGAGAGGGAGGGGAGGCAGGAAAGGAAACGTTTGACTCTCCATTCACGACTCCAAGCTGTGACTCAATTTCCTTGGCAACGGTTGCCGTGACAACAGAAGACGAGGATGAAAAAAGTTTCGTAAAAGAGGAAGAGTATTGAAGACTAGAAGAGCTTGAATTAGCTTCAAGGGATGAGAGCTTCAACTGGTAACTACTGATCTTCTCTTGAACATCCAATGAGAATGAAATCTCATCAGCTTCAGCCAAATACATTGTGGAAGAAGGAGTTTTTGAATCAGAAATGCCTACCACTAGCTTACCCAGTGTAAGCTGTAGCCAAAGAGAAGGATTGGAGCCATATAAGGACATCAAAGAAGTTGAACTGACGTCAGAAAAAGGAGGAGGAGGGGGAGGAGGAAGAGAGTGTGACGATGAAGCTACTGATGATGGGAGTTTGTTGAATGAGACATCAGACACAAGAGGATTAGAGGAAGGAGGAGGAGGAGGAGGAGAATACAGAGAAAGAAATGATTGAAGTACATTCAATACTTGGCATAAGAGTTTAACCTAAAAATTAAAAGAGAGCGTAAGTCATGCACTTGAAAAATTTAGTACATCAAAAATTAACTTTTGTTATGAATGGAGATACAGTAATAAATTACATGTAACTAAAATTGCACAAACATGTCAAAATTAAACGCATACAAAATTACTCTATTTATAATGCATGGGTATTATCAGTTAAGCTAACATGGAGCTACACCTATAGTACCTTTTGTTTATCAATTGTAATTTGAAGGATCTTAACATCAGCATGAATACCAATACAGACTACACCAATAACTGATGGTGATTGAATGAGTGCCAGAGAGACATTGACTGATAGAGGATTAAGAACATGAGTCACTTGAGTATTAATGATAGCAGATATCAGGGCATCAGTTAGTGATACCTTTAAACTGGGTTGATCAATATTAGCTGTAATATGGGGGGAGGAGAGATAAGAGGAGAAAAGAATTAATAATACAAATGTAAATAAATAAATAATAATATAAAAATTAATAAAACCATTCACACATCACTCTTGCCAATAAATCATCTTGTACATCATGAAATAAAACAATGAGCTAACCCAGTAGGTGATGGTGAGGGGGAGCTGAGGAATAAGATGTCTCAATTTTAAGTCTTGGGAAGGCAAACAAGATCATCCTTTGCCCCTTGTCACTAATGGAAGCAGAGAGACAGGAAAGAGGTGTGGCAGGTAGAGGAGTCTTCAATTGCTCAAACGAGAACATAAAGAGGATATGCTCACATGATATCTGTCAAATAAAAATTTTAAAAGTTACAAATACTATAAAAGTGGAATTTTTAAGGTGACTTAAATTTTACAATAAAAGAAAAAGTAAAATTAAAAACCAGTTAACTTTTTGTCAGTTATATTAATTTATAGTAGCTCACATGTATATCCATAGATATTAGAGTAATTTCATTTACTCTAATATCTATGGTATATCATAAAATTAAAAACACGCAAAAGTTTAAAAATTAAATAATAAAGGCAGTAAAATATTCCACTTCTACGGTAATAAGTCACACAATAATAATAAATTTACAAATAACCATAGCATATAAAGTACATGCTGATCCATACTTACATCAAGTTTGTAAGATTCTAGGAGGGATAGGAGTTGGGCAGTTCTGGTTTTTCCAGTTTCCTCTCCTTCTTCTTCATCTTCTTCCTGATAAGAGGACAATACTGGACTATCAAGATGAGAAGGAAAGCTGTGAGATGGTTGAGTGGTGTGCCCAATAGCTAAACAAAAAATATTAATAAATTATGGATAAATAAATCGACTAGTTTATAGTATATGAAATATGTAACAGAATGAAATTTTTCCTGGTTGTTAGCCAAATTTTTGAGGAACAAAAAATTTGTAAAAAAAATCCAATTTGGATCGGAATCTGCTCAAACTTTCTACACAACAGAAGTACATGAGAATGTATCAGAAGAAATATAATAATTGGAAAATTCTCTTCTAGTCAAATTTGGCCAAATTTGGCCAAAGTCACTGTACTATAGTACAGGGACTTTGGCTCAATTTTTGAGCAGCTTTAGAAATTCATAAAAATTAATTTTAGTCAGAATCAGCTCAAACTTGCTACACAACATAAAAACATGTATATGTATTAGAAAAAATTATAAAAATGGAGAAATTTCTCCTAGTCAATTTTGGTGAAATTTGGCCAAAGTCAGACTTTGGTCAACTTTAGCATGATTATTATGCAACTTTTAAAAATCTAATTAATAAATAGTTGCAACGTAGTGCTTTAGCAGGCAAGGTAAGGAGCAATAGGTGCTATAAGGTATAATACTGTGTAAAATAATCATCAATTAATTATATGAAAGCCATACTAATTGCATAGCTAAAATAAGACAAAAGTAAAAGTATAATATTTATTCCTAAGTATCATCTTGCATTAGGTATCATCGGTACATGTATGCTTGATGTCCTAGTGAAAGTGTAAGCTGTTTGTGCATTAGTTGCACCAACAGTTTCTCTCGTGAACACATCTTCATCATTAAAAATAAATTCATCATTTGCTATTCTCATTCTCTCCTTCCTCTTTGTTTGATTCAATACGCAGACGTGTATAAAAACCACAGTACCAGTTAGCGGAGCAGACAAATCCATACTAAGATACTTGAGCAATAACAGGTCCTCTTCAATTGAATACACAGATGCAACAAAAGTCAAATAAAGTAATGTACTGATCATCGGATAGACTGCAAATGGCAGCAATTCCTTGAGAAGTTTTTTCCATTTATTCTTCACAAGTAAAGGAGCTTCATCCTCACTGCTTCTAGCAAAAGACCTCTTACAAACTGTCGCAAGTATTAGTATCGTCATCACAAAAGTCACGAGGTTTACAACACCAAAGAAAGACAGAGAGACAAAAAAGAAAATATAGCCATATTTGCAAATAAAATTTGAGAACTTGACAATGACAGCAAATAAGACAAGGATTCCAAATATTAGGATAAAAGTGATAATCATGAGTTTCAACTGCCTCATACCATTCACCTTCTTGAGACAGACAATGTATGAGAAGAGGGTCACGGTAAGCCAGAACATGAGAAAGCAGTTAATCCAATACAAGCTGATGCGTGCTTGATACGAGATGTGTACGTGAATGAGAACCTTATGAAATGAACCATTGACAATGTAGATGATGTAATCTCTATAATACTCAGGCGACAAGAAGGAGAGGATCAATGTCAGTGAAAACAGTATCATTACAATTAGTTTGATAAGTATCACTCTCTGTACTATGTCTTTATAGAATTTACTAGAGAGGGCAAAGATGAGTGCTATGGTGCACAATATAACTCCACAGGAGCCAATGACAGTATTAAAATCATCAGTATCAGTAGCAGAGACAAGATCTACAGGGGCGTATCTAGGAATTGGGAAAGGGGGTGCTAAGGGCGCGCGAAGCGCGCCGCAATTTTGGCCACACCCACTTTTACGGCGGTAAAACGGCCTTTTCCTGCATTTTCGTCAATTACGGGTGGGCCCAAGATCATTTCAAGCATACTGCTATGTTACTGGTACTTCTGATTGCTCCTTAAAGCACTGGAAACTGCTGAAATAATGATCAGGGGGCTAGATAACTTTGTTAAGAGGCTTGGTAGTGATGCAAGAGTCCAGGACTTCAGTAATTTTTTCTGAGCCCAGCCCTGAGGGGGGTGCTCAAGCCCCCTCAGCCCCCCCCTAAATACGCCTCTGATCTACCCCATCACCATCACTGCAATTCTCTCCCTCCATCTTGAATTGGCTAATACAGCTGTTTACACAATGCAACCCACTAAAGAGAACCACATGGACAAACACTGCAGTAAGCCAAGAAATATAAAGCAAAAACTTATAGCCTTCATACTTCATAGTAGTACTTATCAACAAAAATTAATGATTATTGACAAATGAAAAAAAGGAGAATACTCTCTTCACAATACTACATGTACATGAATTATAAAAGAGGTACATGTAAACATGTGTGTCCCAGTTTCCCCTGACTTACGGGTAAATGCAGGAATGGCTTTATTTTCTTCTTGATCATCTTTAAATATACACCAAATCTCCAAGAGCTGTTTAGCATATTCTTCAAATTGTGCTAGCAAGTTATGAGGTAGGTACATAGCAATGCCTCCTACTTTAAGTCCAAGTAAAGGAACACCTTCTATTGAAATACAAAAGATTTAACTGTGACACTTAGAAAACTATACATTGCATAATATGTGTATGCATGACTGCCATAAACATTGATCTTGTATCAGGTAACAACTTAACAATGTTAAAAGAAGGTTGCTGAAATGCTTATTTAAAAGGAACCCAAAATCATACCTTCTCTAGGCCAAACAAGACAGACTTCAAATACCCTCCCATCCAGAGAAGACGACACATTAGAACCAACATTATGAAGAGCATTATCAGCTAGTGATTTTATACAAGAGCTAATAGGAGCAGGAGACTGAATGACTGGAACTGCGGATGACACTGATGAACTTATAAAATGAACAAGAACTTCTCCCAAACAACAAGAGACCAGGGTTCCTTCTGAAACAGATTTTGAATACTCTCCAGTGATACCCCTCAGTAATAATATCAATCTATCAGTTGTATGCCTCTCACTAGGAGCTGGAAGAGGAGGATGAAGAGAGGCTGTTGATGACAGCCATGAAGCAGCTATTGTAAAAAAGAGACTAAGATTACCGAATGTGAGGTTAGTTTTTAATTCAGGAGCTTTGAAATGATAATAACTAGATTGTAAGGATCCATCAGTCTTATTATGTACACTTAATAATAACTGAGGACATAGAATGGATCGATCAGTCACTAATACACCAGTAGTAATGTGACTGATGCTATCATTGCTACACTCAACACTACTAAATGTCACTTCCTCTATAGTACAATCCAAGTGCAATGTCTGAGGGTCAGTGGGTGTCGCATTACCACTGTACATTGCCATGGTAACCTCAGCATCGACTCTGTTTATAATGAGAGAGGTGGTGGGTTTTGAATCGCTTGATGAGATGTGGCACTTCAGAGGAAGATGAATCAATGTTGTATCTGACGTTATACTTAACATTGTCTTGGCAACAGGATCACCTAATACAATTAAACCTATAAAAAAACAAATAATAAGAGGATTAACAATGGTATCACTTTGATGAAATCATGATAATAAAAAGTTAGTACACACATAGGAGAAAATAGTACACACACAAAAAAAATACAAGTACTGCATTTCTTAATATTACCTTGAGATACTAATGGTGTGGCCTCAAGTGAAACTCTAAACTTATTGATAAAGAAATCCAACCTGTGCATGACGTCAAGTGAGAGTATCAAGGAATGTTTTCCTAGTTTGAGGGTCTCCTGACAAGTCTCAGTTTCTCTTTCAGGAGGAGCAGAATCATAATAATCGTACGTGAACCACAGCCCTTGGTACTCTGGTTTATACTCCAACCAATGACGAGGAGGGGGAGGAGAAGGGTGAAGGGATTCATCAAAAAGTGAATAATTCAAAAGTGGTTGGACATCAATTGGTGAAGGACTACCCAATGAATAAACATGAACCTACAGAAAAGAGAAGGAAATTTACAGAAATGATCAGTTAGAAAGGGACAAACTTAGAATCAAGTTAAATTACCATTTTTTCTTCATTTCCTCTAATCTTCTTGTGCTTTTTCCCTGCCATGGCCACCAATCCGCAAGTACAGCCTTCCACACCTTCTCCCCCCATCCATCCATTGACAGACATTATGCCAACACTAGCCCCCAAGTGTTTCAAGGATGGAATCCGATCGACACGAGACATGCATCCAGAAAACCTCAGACTCATAACTCGAAACCAGGATCCCTTCCTCATCTGGGATAGAAACACTGATGGGCGTTGCTTCTTAAAAGTTGAGACTCTAAAGTCAATCTTTATAGACTTTGCATAAAAACCCAGCGAGAGAGAGGGTGGAGTGAGAGGTGTGGCCTGTACATCATCCTTCCCACCTTCATCAGGAGCAACAAAGGACATTAGCCAAGAGCCCCAGCCAGCTTCAGTGCTCTCTTCTAATGAAGGACCTTCTCTTTTCTCTTTGTCTTCAACACTACTCTCCTTCTCTAGTGCAGGATCACTATCCTCTTCTTTTCTCTCTGTCTCCTCCTTTTGTTTTTCAAAACTCGCATCATCGTCCCTTCCTCTTAGCTTCTTCATGGAGTAATAGAGACCCATCAACCAGTCAAGAAAATGAATGAATAAAACAAATTGGTTTTCAGAGACAGAGAATTCAAGATCCTTTGAGAGTATCTCAAACCTGTTCTCAGTGACGGCTTTCTCACGATAACCAATCTTCCACCGACACTCAAAAGCACATCCATCAAGAAAAGGCTCGTCATATTCCTCAACTTGACCACACCCACCAATCACATCAAGACAGACGGTTGCCCCGGTAACCAGGCAGACCCTGTGAAGCGAGTATTCATCACTAGTGCTCGCAAGATGATCAGTGTAGATGAATTCATGTTGCCATGACGAATTAGCAGTCATAAACTCCGCCTCTTTTATGGAGATAGAGAACTGAAGGTCGCAATGTTCTTCGATGATTTTCAATAAACAATTAGTGACTCTTAGTCTAACGTTATTAGTTATACGATTCAATAGTCCACTTATGTAGCCTGGTGCCGTCCCAGCCTGCTGCTGGGGATCAGGTAAAGGTTGAGAGGGCGTGGTCTCGGTAGGCGTGGCCTTTTCTTTGAATGCCTTTGGAGAAGAAAGGGAGCGGGTTTGATAGAAATTGTGCAGTTTAATAGTGCATTCCACGGAATCAAAAGAAGCTATTATTGGCTCAGAGCCTATGGCGGTCCATGGAATGTGTAGTGTTAGTTGTTTGACTGAGCCGCTCTTTAGTTCAAAGGGAAGACCGAGGGAGCGGAGGGAGTCTTCAATGGCGTCCAATTTAAGCTGGAGGTTGGTCAGGACGGCATCTCCTCCCCAAAATGAGAGCTTGAGGTCTGAGGGCTTGATATTCTTGATATATTTGTTGAGGTAAGAGGTAAGCAAAGGAGTGATGTAGCCTTCCAACATGCTCCTTCCTCGTGGCGGGTTTTATTTCGCGGGCTGGGGGAGAGGCCACTAGTATAATTGGGCGGGGCAGATCGGAACTGTAACTAGGCAACCGTATCGTAGCAACTGTAACCTGGCAACAGCAACCTGGCAACAGCAACCTAGCAACTGTAACCTGGCAACAGTAACCTAGCAACTGTAACTAAGCAACCGTATCGTAGCAACTGTAACCTGGCAACAGTAACCTAGCAACTATAACTTGGCAACGGTTGCTAAGTTACAGTAACTTAGCAACAGTTGCTAGGTTGCATAAAAAATTATTATTTTATTTTTTAAATAAATTTAATTTTTAAAATTAGTTTTTATATAATTAAAATAATTAATAAAATGATATTTAGAAAATAATAATTGGTTTTATTTAATTAAGTAAAATTTAAATTAATTTCATTTATTAATTTAATCTTAAAATAATTCAATATTAATTATTTTAAATTTATTAAAATTAAAATAATTTAATATTATTTTAATATATTTTTTTAAATTAATTTTATTATTTTTATTTTTTATTTTTAAAATGACAATGACAATAATAATAACAATGACAACAACTAATTAAAATAAGATTACTAATTACTAATAAAGTAATTTATTAATAATCTATTAATAAATTATTAGTAATTTATTAGTAAATTATCAGTAATCTATTTATGAAATATTAGTAATTTATTAGTAAATTATTAGTAATCTATTAATAATTTATTAGTAATTTATTAGTAAATTATTAGTAATCTATTAATAAATTATTAGTAATCTATTAATAAATTATTAGTAATTTATTAGTAAATTATCAGTAATCTATTTTTGAAATATTAGTAATTTATTAGTAAACTATCAGTAATCTATTTTTGAAATATTAGTAATTTATCAGTAAATTATTAGTAATCTATTAATAATTTATTAGTAATTTATTAGTAAATTATCAGTAATCTATTTATAAAATATTAGTAAATTATTAGTAATCTATTAATAATTTATTAGTAATTTATTAGTAAATTATCAGTAATCTATTTATGAAATATTAGTAATTTATTAGTAAATTATTAGTAAATTATTAGTAATCTATTTATGAAATATTAGTAATTTATTAGTAAATTATTAGTAATTTATTAATAAATTATTAGTAATTTATTAGTAAATTATCAGTAATCTATTTTTGAAATATTAGTAATTTATCAGTAAATTATTAGTAATTTATTAATAAATTATTAGTAATTTATTAGTAAATTATCAGTAATCTATTTTTGAAATATTAGTAATTTATCAGTAAATTATTAGTAATTTATTAATAATTTATTAGTAATTTATTAGTAAATTATCAGTAATCTATATTAGTAATTTATTAGTAAATTTGTTAGTAATCTATTGATAAATTATTAGTATTTTATTAGTAAATTATCAGTAATCTATTTATGAAATATTAGTAAATTATTAGTAATCTATTAATAAATTATTAGTAATTTATTAGTAAATTATTAGTAATTTTAATAAATAATTTTATTAAATAAATAAAATTAAATTTAAAAATTAAAATAAATAATAATAATAATAATAATAATAAAATTATCAATAAAAATAAATTAAATTAAAATAAATTAATCAAAACAAAAAAATATAAAATAAAATAATAAACAACAAAAAATAATAAAAAATTATTGTTATGAAAGGATAATAAAATTATTTTAAAAATCAATAAACAACTTGATTTTTATTCTAAAAAATAAATAAAAATTAGTAAAAAATAATTAAAAATTTATTGTGTGGGCGAAGCAGAAATTGTAACCATAGCAACTGTCACCTAGCAACAGTAACTTAGCAACTGTAACCTAGCAACAGTAACTTAGCAACAGTAACTTAGCAACAGTAACCTGGCGACAGTAACTTAGCAACAATAACCTGGCAACAATAACCTGGCAACAGTAACTTAGCAACAGTAACTTAGCGACAATAGCTTGGCAACCACATAAAAATGCGCGGGCGCGCGGGTTTTGCTCGATCCACCATTTTTTATTTATTGTGACCACACCCTCTTAGTGCTCGCCGCGCGCCCACGTAGTTTGGGTGGAGCTGCTCACCATAACAACATCGTCAAACAGCAAGACAAGACTGACATGCCCAAGAAGAAGAAAGGAGGAAAGAAGAAAGGCGGAAAGAAAGGGAAGAAGAAAGGCCAGAATGATGAAGAGAGACTAGAAATGATCAAGAAGACAAAAGACCTACTTAAACTATACACTTCAACATGTGCAAAAGAAGAAAGCTCAACTGGAACTTACCTAGTCAGCAGTCTCAAGGAATGCATAGAAGAGGAGAAACCTTTATCTAAAGTAATAATTATACATTACTCTCATAGTTTTAAAGTGTAGTAATACACCTGTAACAGGCTATTCTTGACCCACTTGCATCTCAGAGAATGACAGTTGCTCCTAGCTCTAGCTCTAAAGGTGTCGTTGCTAAAAAGAGAAGCAGCCCAAGTGTGACTGGACCAGCAACTGCTCCTGAAGTGGCTCCAGCAGTGCCAGCTGTAGCTAGTACAATGTCACCTAAAATCAAGTTAAAGCCATTACTTCGCTGTTTTGGTGAAGTGAAGTATCATTACATTCGATGCTTGCATTTGTGGTACATGCCACTTGCTGAAGAGGATTTAGTGTCTTTGGTTAGTTCTTTATCATCTCTAGCACTTGTTCCATTATTCTAATGCTGTAAATTGGGCCACTTTCCTTTTATAGGCACTGTTTATGGCCAGCCCTGTTGGCACTCAAATTAGAGTGTTGGATTTAACTGGGAATTATCCTACTACTTGGGGCATTAAAAGATTATCAAGGTACACATTGATATCATGATACCAGCTGCTTAATTTGCTTAATAGATCATTTGTAAAAAGTCAACTTGTGCATTTAACACTAGATTACAATAGGTATGCAATGAATGATGTATATTATGCATAATAATTATGCGTCTTTCATTTGTAATAGGCTAAGTGCAGATGCTGTTGATGTTCTTTGTCAAAATTTAAAGGACTGTCTGACTTTACTCTCTCTTAATTTAAACTATTGTCACATGACTCCTGAATGCGGAGAACCTTTAGGACTATTAATATCAGCATCACAAATAAGACACCTTGGAATCCAAGGAAATACGTTACAGAGCAGGGGAGTACAAGCTCTACTCAGTTGCTTGGCTGTTGTAGCAGAGACAAGCGAATCCATGCCACTTTTAGGAAAACTTTATTTGCAGGATAATGAGATTGACGGATGTGGAAGAGGAGGAGTATTTGCACCAATTATGTGCATGCAAATACTGGGAAGGTATATACTGTACATGTACATGTGCATCTTCTATGAATACACAACTTCTAATCTCTGCTTAAAGGTGGCTGGCAAGGAGCAAGAGCATTGAAGAAGTGAGACTAGAGGGAAACCTCATAGGAGACGCAGCTGCTCGAGAACTAATGCTAACATTACAACAAAGGAAAGAAAGTAATTGACACTATTTTGAGAAAAACACCAACAAAATTAATCAATATGTGTTACAATAGTTGGCCTGCCAGCTATAAAGGTTGGACTCACAAACAGGATGTGTACAGATGTCTTTAGTCAGCTAATGGAGCTGACTGGTACTGCTGGTGGCAAGAAGAAAGGAAAAGGAAAGAAGAAGAAAGTAATGCAACATGTACATGGATATAATAAAATTATTGTGGCTTTTGTCTCTTTTTAGAAAAAATGAAAAATAATATAATATGGCCGCTATTATAATCAAAACCCTTTTGCTTCAAATCAATAATGTTATATGTTGTGTATTATACAGAATTTAATTTCAATTATTCAACTTGAACCCTGAAACTCTTTCCAGCCCAAGAGACCAGGATAATAATGTCTGACTCTGTGACAAAAATAAATCATTGGGACGTATTAACGCTGCTTTTTTTACTTTTTAAATCCTATTTCATTTGCAAGAGCCATTGCTGTCCTGCTCCTAATACCAGATCTGCAATGAAACACAACATTGTTGTCTTCTACCGATGGCTTGGGTGCACCATATGTAGCAATGAACTCCTCATTAGTCATTGTAAGAGCTTCACTAACATCACCGACTAGAAATCATATTTATCATTATTTTTAAATTCAAAAATATGTAACTTACGTGGGACATTTACAGCACTTTCATGGATGATCCCTTCATCGATTAGCTCCTGAGGCTCCCTCACATCAATGAGTTGAATATCCCCACTATCCAGCATCGATTTTAACTCTGTGCTACCAACATCGACCCAGGTAAGCTCAATATCTTGATCTGTTGAGTACTTTAATGAAGGAGTGAAGTACCAGTATTTTGTACTAGTTTTGCAAACATTATTGGCCTTTATCGGCTTTTTCAGGTCACATCTTTGTAAAACAGATGTTGATGAATATTGCCTGGTTGGTAAAACAGTTGCTGCAATCGCAATAAGTCGAAATATGTCTTTTGAAAATGATCTGTGGAGGATCAGTCTAGCAGCCATTTTATGGATGTGGTAGAAAGGCGTGGTTAGAGACGAATTTCTTTTCCGTAAACTTCTCTCATTAGATCTACTGTAATATCACGGAGATTTACAAAGACATTGGAGTAAACGGTGTTTTGGGGCGTGGTCTATTTATAAAACCCCTCCTCCTTTTATCTAATGGATGCACACATACCACCAAGCTGTTATTGACAGGAGGGCCTAATACAAGACAAGAAGGAGCAAGATAAGCCTCTAATGGAACTAGACACACTGGGACTCCATAAAGAAATAATCAAAGACTGAGCCCTAACTCTCACCTCACCGTATCAACGCGATTTCCTCCCTCACTGTTCTTCACTACCCACTCTCTGCTGTATGTCTCATAGCTCTACCACTAACGGGGTAACCACTGCCTCATCATCAAACATTCAAGATACTCCATCATCATCAGCTGATACCCAGAGAGTCCAGAGAAGGAAAAGGAGACGTCGTCGCGAGAGCAGTGTGACCACACCTCCACCCAGCAAGCAACAGAAAATCAATTTCCCCTTGTCCTCTAACAATCATCACCAACACAATAACCATCACAAGACTAGCATAACAACTGAAGAGGTACATAAAAACAATAGTAGAAAAATGTGACAATCTATTTTAATGCTCACTGTATTATGTACTAATATTCTCTAATGATGCTCTTTTATTGTATTTACAATGCGTAGGTACATGATATGGACTCTAGGGCATCTCCCAATCGCTCCGTGAGTGCTCCTGTTGAGTCCAACCACAAGATATCGCTACACGGTCATGCGACCCGAGGTGGTGGGGGCGTGGCCAATGGAATGAAAAAGTCGGGCACTCCGAAAAAGATTGTCATAAAAAATCTTAAAGGTAACAATCAAAAAATATACGTATACAGTGTATATAACACCTCATTTCTTTGTGCACAGCTCGAGCTGATGTTCAGCCTATGGAATATTGCAAGGAAGCTTGGTCCAAATTAAAGAAGGCCATTGAAGCTATTCACTCCAGCCAGCCGATATGCTATAGCCTGGAGGAACTGTATTTAGCAGTGGAAAACTCCTGCTCTCACGGGCTAGCCCCTGAACTGTACGGGAATCTTAAGACAGAGTGTCAGGAACACATGTCTGTACATTTACCGGAATTTAATCAGTTGAGTATTGAGTTACCGTATTGTTGTTGATCAGGTGTATATGTGCTTGCTCTCTCTCTCTCTCTCCCGCCTCCTTTAGGGATAATGTTGATGAAGGCTCGTATATGATTATTATTGACAGAGTCTGGGTCTCATTCTGTCGTCAAATGGTACAGATTTTATTTTACTATCATGTCTTTCATCCTGTTTTCTTCTTTGCAGATAATGATACGGAGTATATTTTTATATCTTGACAGAACTTTTGCTGTTCCTCATCAAACTCTTCCTGCTATCTGGTACTGTAGCTGATAAATATGATAATTTATCTTATATGTACATACATGCATGGTGTTCATCCCTCTCTCTCCTTTTCTAGGGAGATGGCTCTTGAACAGTTTGGTGATGTTGTTAGCCAGCCAAAGATCAGGGACCGTATCCTTAGAGGCATACTGGCAGCCATTCACAGAGAAAGGTGAATATTTACAATGGATACTGACCTCCATTAGTGACTGCTCATGTAGATGTGGGGAGAGTGCTGATCGCACCCTATTGAAAAGTTTATTAAGAATGTTTGTTGATTTACAGGTACAAAAGATTAAATAATACATTTGCATGTACATGTACATTGATCGAGGACTAATGTTTTCTTTTTTTCTGCTGTAGCTTTATCAAGGTGTCTTTGAGTTGGAATTCCTAAAGGAGACAGAGAAACTTTATTATAACGAGTCACTTAGAATGATGCGAGATTCTGAGTTCACTGTTAGTATCATTTTTACTATTAGTGTGCATTTACATGTACATGTACATTATGTACATGTACATGTATGTCTGTCTCCCACTTCTTGTATGTACATGTAGTTACCTGATTATTTGAGTCATATTGATAAACGTCTCTCTCAAGAGAATGACAGGCTCATTCAGTATCTTCATAAAACAACAAAGTATGTCACTGAATTAATTCTACATGTAAATGTACATTACATTACAGGAAGCCATTAATCCTGTGTGTTGAAAAGCAATTGGTCGGAGAACACTTGCAAGAAATTTTAGACAAAGGTAGATGAAGTGATTGTAACTTTATAGCATGAAATTTTTTGTCTTTTAGGATTTGAGAGCTTGCTTGAAGCCAACAGATATCATGAGCTTATCCTTCTCTATCAGTTCTTTGGACGATTCAAGGATGGAATACCATTGCTTCATATAGCATTTGGAGGATATATTAAGGTAAAAACAATCAACAAGTCGTATGTAGTAGATTAAACATATGGATTGTGAGCCAAATCAGTCAAATGGCATCACAACATTATGTGTAGTTGTGAAATCAACTTTTATAGCAAATAATTTTTCATATTTTTATGTAGAAATCAGGGATTGCTATAGTAAGCGATCAGGAGAGAGATAAGCAAATGGTGCAGGAACTGTTGGAGCTAAAAGACAAAGTTGAGAAAATCATTCAAGAATCGTTTCAGAATGAAAATAAATTCCATCAAGTTGTTAGAGTATGTGTCAATATTATTATCAATCACATCATGTTTTACTTGTACACGTACATGTACACGTGTACTTATAGGACTCTTTTGAGAACGTCATCAACAGGAGGCAGAATAAACCAGCTGAACTTGTGGGTCAGTTTAGAGAGAGGGAGAAGAGAGACTGCATGATAGAATTAAAACATACAATTACATGTACATGTACAATGTAGACTCTTATTATTGTTACTTGTTTTCCAGCAAAGTATGTTGATACACAACTGAGATCTGGTAATAAGGAATGGTCTGATGAGGAGCTTGATAGATTATTAGACAGAGTGATGGTTCTCTTCAGATACATACACGGTATTTCACGTACCCATTATACAGCATGCTATTGGACTCTGTGTATAGGGAAAGATGTTTTTGAAGCATTTTATAAGAAGGATTTGGCAAAGCGTCTTCTATTAGGAAAGAGTGCATCCTTTGATGCAGAGAAATCTATGCTCTTGAAACTAAAACAAGGTAATTGGTGACACCAGATGACATCATCTGACATCATTGCCTGTTATGTCTAACTATTATAGAGTGTGGACCCAATTTCACAAGTAAACTTGAAGGAATGTTTAAAGACATTGAGTTATCGAGAGAAATGATGTCAAGCTTTAAACAAGTAATACAAACACACAAATTCACATGTACATCAATCATTGGCTATCATTTTATGTGCATGTACATGTACATGTACTGTAGCATATATCAACTACCAAGAGAGTCTCTGGATCTATTGATTTATCTGTTAATGTCTTAACTATGGGATACTGGCCTACATACACACCAATGGAAGTTCTACTACCACCAGAAGTTAGTTTGTACGATTATACTTTTTATTTTATTCCTTCTCCTTCTCTTTCTCTCCTCCTAAATGACGTTTCTCTATTACATCTACTCCTGGCTCTTACTACATGTACCATAGATGGGTTTTTATCTTGATGTATTTAAAGATTTCTATGTACGCAAGCACAGTGGAAGGAAGCTCCAATGGCAGCACTCGTTAGCTAATTGTGTACTAAGAGTCTCCTTTGATCAGGTACACATGCAGTACTATACTGTCTGCAGAATTGCAACTAAGCTAGTACAACAAACAAGTCTTGTAATGTAAAAGATTCTGTTATCTCTACATTCTCTTTGTTCCCCTAGGCTGATAAAGAATTGCAAGTGTCTTTATTTCAAGGGCTAGTCCTTCTCTTGTATAATGACACTGACCAGCTAACATATTCTTACATTAGTCAAGCAACAGGAATAAGTCAGTACATGTAACACGTACTTTGTGTATTTTTATGTATTCTCTTCCCCCACCTTCCCTCCTTTGTTTGTACTCTCATTTCTCTCAAATTCAAATTGTAGTTGAAGAAGAACTTAAAAGAACTCTACAGTCATTAGCTCTTAATAAAGTATCAAGAATTTTATTGAAGCAGCCAAAGGTACTGTATGCACAATGTACATGTACATGTACATGTACATGTACATGTACATGTACACTGGCTTTTCCACAAAGCATGCTAAGTGAGTTTAAAAGCTTGCTTGATGAACTGCTTTATAGCACATGGAGCCTTTAAAATTTTTTAAAAATCCAAATTTGATTGGAATAGTACAGGAGCTTTGGCCCAATTTTTGGGCAACTATAAAATTCAATTTTGATCAGAACCAACTCAAACTTTCTACACAACATAGGAACATGTTACATGTATGTGTGTTGAAAACATAAGAATTTTATCCTTGCCATTATGTTTGATGAAATTTGACATACATGTACATGTACTGTGCATCTTTTATCTCTTTTCTCTCTCTTTTCACTCCCCAAGAGTTTTGAAGTAAATGATACAGATGTCTTTACATTTAATCGATCATTCAAGCACAAGCTATTCCGTATTAAAATTAATCAAATTCAAATGAAAGAAACTGTAAGTTGTCTCCTTCTACACGTACAGTTCTGACTTGTATTGATCATTAGCAATCTGAAAACATAGCAACCAGCGAGAGGGTTTTTCAAGATAGACAGTACCAGGTAAAGGCACTTGTACATGTACAATGTACATACTGTACATGGAGTGGTGG